AGACGTAGTCGACAATCGCCCATTGACCGAAATTGGCGCTATTCATAACTCCGTCCTCCAATTAGCTGACATCGCAATTAACAGATGCCAGGCACTAGGCACATACACCCTATTTTGGTCGGCCCCAGAATGAGTGTCTACACGGCCGCGTTTCCTGCCCCCTTGGGTTCAAACATTGGGTGTTTTCCTTACAGATGGATATTATCGCTTTGTCCCGCCATAGCCAGGGTGGTTCCTTGCTGACTTGGAATGGATGTCTTAGGCTGGAACGCTGGACTTGATTAGCATTCGCAAATATCTGCGCTTACGATACCCTTCTGGAGACAAAGACGCGGATCATCATGCCATGGATGACTAGTGTGTTAATTGTGATGTAGATTTTTTTTTAAAGATATACACGAACAAGAAGACATATTTTTTTTTTACCAAAGCGGGGGGAGAGGAGATGGCCAGCGTGCTTCCCCCCCCACACCATGAGTATCTGCAGTTCTACTCAAACATGATGGGCGGTCTGGGGGGTGGCGGGTAGTCGCGGCACGTGCGCATAATCTGTTTTCCAAGGTGCTGTTTTTGTGTGAAGGGCATGCTGGGCATAGCGATACAAAAGTGCATCCGATAGTGTTGTAGATAGAAGCTGTATTGAAGTTTAACGAGTCCAAGTGAGTGAGTGAACAATGTCCCGGAGGGAGCCAAAAATGGATATATATACCCTGGTCGCTTTTTGCAAGACGGGGAAATTCAAATAGTCAAGATCCAAAGTAATATCAGGGAGTAATCTCCAGAGAGGGGGAGGACCTAGAAGAACCCAATATCGTTTATTTCTCGATCACCCAGGAGCGAGTTCGATTCCGGCGTAATTAATGCTAGACAGAAAAAGTGAAAAAGGGGAATTAAAAATACAAGAGATAGTTAATCTAAGGGGCCGGACTTGAGTCGGAGAAGGAATGTCTGTGGGGTGGGGAGGGCAAAGGCAGCTGTTGGTCTATATACGAAAAAGGGGAGTCAAGCCTCACCTATCTATACCCTTACCCTCAGTGTATGTGTGACAGGGGGTAGGCGGAAAATAACAGAAAGCGATGAAATCCCGACTAAAGCCGAGGTGACCATGCGATATATAGGAACCACATGGCCGGCAGCGGGTTTGTTCCTCTACCAAACAAACAAACGAAAACAAAAACACGGAAATCGTTTATCTAGTACCCGCCATGGCGAGTCATGAAGAAAAATGGGGATGCAGCCGGCGAATGCTTGAGATGTAGCAGAGGAGTGATCCTTCAAGGGACACATGGTGCATGAATGTGGCGAAGACTCCCCATGGCTTTACAAGCAGGATGTTTTGCTACTTGTTCTATTCATGCAATGGGCAGGACAAAGTACTTGGTGAATAAAATGAGGCGCGCCTCCAAATCGCATTCATGGAGGATGCACTTGTCTCCTTCTGAATTTCCATACCAACTGCACTTGGGCCCAGCATGTTCAATGGTATTGAGAGAGAAAAATCTTTTTGTTTCAGGTGACTAGACAAGAGCGCCTCTTAGGTCTTGGCAGCGCATTCATGCAATCGCTTTTCTCTTTTCTTCTTTTCCTCTTTCCTTTTCTTTTCCTTTTTTTTTTCGGAACTGACCGAGCGGGTATTGGAGGTAGCTCCGCATGTATTTGCGAGTGCCGACAATGGCTACAGCTCATGACATACCTACTTGATCCCTCAGGCTTAGCTTGTAGACTCTTTTGCCACAGTGTCGTTGCTTCAGATGGCCTGTTTCTTCCTGCTTTTGGCTTGGAAATGGAAGGAGGGCGCGTGGGAGGACGTGCACTCCTACTTTTAGAAAGCACAATGCGATCTGCCACTTGCATTCTATTCAATACTGGGTACTGGCAAATATAGAGAATACGCACTTGTGACATGGCAAACAGCCATTTGTTATCGAGGAATATCTCGATAATGTAGCTGTGAAGCGAGAGGGAACCATACTGTATGCACCGAGCATTATCTGCGAGGCCAATGTTGCAAAGCCATGAATAATCAAATGAAGGGAACCATATTGCAGATAAGCTTGGGGCAGGGATCCAAAATGTACTACGCCCGAGTTATCGCGTATAATAGCTAGCAGCTTGGAAAATTACATTGTAGAAAAATCGATCCTTTGTAAAATTAAATTTCAATTATTTCTCAACATGCAAACCGAGCCAGCATTGGCGGACGGGCGCCTGCCGACACCGCAGACAGCCAAAGAATACTCGTTCCCCATGGCCCCTTATGACATCCAGCTTGATTTCATGAGACGGCTATTCGAGACAATCGAGAACGGCGATTTCGGCATATTCGAAAGCCCCACCGGCACCGGCAAGTCGCTCAGCATTATCTGCGGCGCGCTCACATGGCTCCAGCACAACTCAGAGCGCCCGCCTGCCAGAGAATTACAAACCACCGACGCGCCTGCATGGGTGGTCGAGTTTGAGCGCAAGCGGCTCAACCAAAGCAATAATGGGGATGCTGGCGACAAGTACGATAGTTGGGTGAAGAAAGTGCGCAGTCAGGAGCAGGCAATGCAGCGGAGGTCGAATCACAGACATATCGCTGGCAGTAGCACGGCTGGGCTGAAGCGCAAGACGGAGGTGGATAGCGATAGCGAGCTTGTTGTTGATGCGTACTATAGCGACGACATGGCCAGGAAGCCGACCGAGGACAATGTCGATGACGGCGAGGTCCGGTACTCGGACAATGTGCGCAGGCTGCTGCAACAGCGGGCAGAGAACAAGCCGTATTTCGACAGCTCCGACGAATCTGACCCCAGTGACAATGGGGGCGATGGTGGGCCGCCCGAGGAGCCGAATGTGACCAAAATCTACTATGCCTCACGCACGCACTCGCAGCTACAGCAGTTTGTCGGCGAAATCAGGCGCACCGAGTTTGCCCGCCGGGGCGTCAAATGCGTATCGCTGGGCTCGCGCTGGCAGCTGTGCATTAACGATTCGGTACGCCATGGCTGCAAAGCCGTCCATCCAATCAACGAGCGGTGTCTGGAGATGCAGCAGAACCCAAAGAAGAAGCGGTGTCCATTCCTACCGGCATTGCAGACGCCGATGCTTGATTTCAAGGACTCAATCGGAGGCAAAATCATGGACATTGAGGATTTGGCAAAGGAGGGGAGGAGGGCTGGTGTTTGCCCGTACTATGGATCGCGGAATGCCGTGCGTGCGGCGCAGGTCGTAGCGTTGCCGTATAATATGCTGCTGTCCAAGAGCGCGCGCGAGTCCATGGGTGTATCACTCAAAGACCATGTGGTGATTGTTGACGAGGCGCACAATCTGGTGGACACCATCCTCGCCATCCACTCGGTCACAATCGACCTGCACACTGTGGCGGGGCTTGAGGAGATGGTGCAGATGTACTTTTCAAAGTACTGGCGCCGCCTCAAAGGCAGCAACACCGTGTACATCCGCCAGACGCTGGCGCTGCTGAAGGCGCTGCGCAAGTACATGCATGGGGTTGCCAGTGGTGGGGAGTCGACCAGTGTCCTGTCAGTGAACGACTTTTTGCAGCGCGCACATGCAGACCACATAAATGTGTACAAGATCGACCGGTATCTGCGCGAAAGCAAGCTAGGGCGCAAGCTGAACATGTTTTCTGATAGGCGCCATTTGGAGGAACTCCAGGCTGCACCAAAGCGGGGGAGGGTGGAGTCGATGGAGACGGCTGGCAGCGACAAACCAGCCATTTTGTCTGCGCCAGCTTCGGGGATTGCGTCGCTTGAGGCGTTCATGGAGTGCATTGGGAGACCGGACCGGACCGGGGCCCGTCTTGTTGTGCGTACACTGGCTAAAGACAAGCCCACAGTCGAGCTCAAGTACCTGCTGCTAGATCCGTCTGAGGCCTTTGGCGAGATTCGCAGGGAGGCACGCGCAGTGATCTTGGCTGGTGGCACCATGAAGCCAGCTACGGACATCGTCGAACAGCTGCTCCCTGATATCCGGCGTATATCAACTGAGGATACTGCTGATGAGCATCGGAAGAAGCTTGACCCACATAGCGCGAGGCTGTTTGCATGGGAGCATGTGGTCGCGCGCTCGCACATCAAGGCACTGGTGGTGGACAGCGGTCCGACGGGCCAGCCGATGAAGTTTACGTTCCAGGACCAGTCCGATATGGTGCGGATCCGCGATGCCGGCCTGGCACTGGCAAGCCTATGCAATGTGATCCCGGCTGGGGTGGTCGCATTTTTCCCATCGTATGCCCTGCTGGGGAAAATGTTTGCCGAGTGGACAAAGCACGGGATCATCCAGCGTATCGAGAGGAAAAAGCCGGTGTTCTGCGAGTCGCATTCTGCGAATCTCCAGGACATGCTGCCAAATTACATGAAGCGCGTACATGCACCGGGGTCCACTGGTGCAGTTCTGCTGAGCGTGGTTGGCGGCAAGCTCAGCGAAGGCATTAATTTCAGCGATGACCTGGGCCGTGCTGTCGTCATGATCGGCGTGCCGTTCCCTAACCTTGCCTCACCAGAGCTCGCCGAGCGCATTGCCTTCTACGAGTCGATGGGGAAACCCGCGAGCACAGCACCGGGTGGGGTGGCGGCAGGGAAGATGGGTCCGCGCGGGCGAGAGTTGTACGAGTCGCTGTGTATGAGGGCCGTAAACCAGTCTATTGGGCGGGCGATTCGGCACAAGAATGACTATGCTGCAATCGTGTTTTTGGATAGCAGGTATGCAGATAGCAGGATTTCCAGCAAGCTGCCGTCGTGGATGGCCCACTCCAGCACTCAGCCAGGGCAGAAGGTCGAGCATATGCCATTTGGGCCGGCTGTCGCTCGAATTGCTGCCTTTTTCCGACAAGATTTCTCGCACTGAATTGCAATCGATTCCATAGCATTAGTGTCCACTAGATGCAATGGCATTTATGGATGAATCCTACCAGGGCCACTCTTAGAGCGACCCGGTACCTGCTTTTATGGCTTGCTCGATTGCTTGTGATGTAGCCTAGACCGGTACTTGTACAAAATCATCGCCCACGATCGGCTATGTCGCATAATTATTCGACCAGAGCGGTTGTGGTGACCACATCGCATCGGTTTTCAGCTCTCAGTATTCACACAAGTTATTCAGAAATTACTTCATCACATATTCATACCACCTATCATTTAGTTATTCGCAATGCCAGACAACATGGATAACGATAGAGAGCGTGGGGCTACACACCACTTCAACACACGATCAACCTCATGCCCAAATAGCGAAGCAGGGGCAGCGAATAGCGTTATCTCCATCTCTGATACTTCCGATATCGATGACGGTGATGATGTAATTGCTATATCTTCTGATGACACTTCTGACAGTGAGTCTGAGGCTGGGGATATCCTGCCTGACACGGGCAAACAGGGTCGGCTGTCGGCTACTCCATTGCTCAGTTATCCCCACGGAACCGTCCGTATCACGCACTTGCAGGATGAGCGATCAGCTAGCGACGACATGATTACATTCGAAGCTTTGGTACAGCCCGAGAAGCTGCGCAAGGCCATCCTCTCAGCCTATGTTGTGGATATGGAATGGCTAACCAGCAAGTTTAGGTCAGAGACAAAAATCGTGCTGGTTGAGAACTACAATCCGAAGACAGAGCACAGAGGGGCTATGCAGTTTGACCGTGGAATGTTGACAATAGTTCACCCGGAATTCAATCCCCGGCAGATGTACCCTATTGTGCATTCGAAGTTCATGCTGTTGTTCTATGACGCGCATGTGCGATTGGTGGTAGGCTCAGCAAATCTTATCCCGGTTGACTGGAGTATAATCCAAAACATCTTGTTTATCCAGGACCTGCCGTATACGCCCAACCAGCCCCAGCCTACAACCGAGTTTGGGATATCGCTGACGGAGGTGCTTTTGGACCTGAGCGTGCCAAGCCAAGCAGTTGCCCAATTGAATTATATTGATTTTCGCAAGGTCACCGTGCACCTCGTTGCCTCTGTGCCGACAAGCTACCGGCGCAGCATCGACCATTCGACACACTACGGAATCAGCCGGCTAGCCCAGGTTGTGCATAAAATGAAGCCGCATATGCCGGCTGTCGACAATGCCAGCTTGAACCTGTATGTGTACGGAACCTCGATGAGTGCCATTACTGAACAATACCTGGCGGTGTTTTATAAATGCGCGCAGGGTCCAGATCCCCAGTCGCTGAACAGCATGTCCAGATGGTGTATGGATAAAAGCGCCGTGCGTGTATATATCGGGTTCCATACAGAGGACCAGGCACAGGAATTTAGATACGAGAGCCAGAGCCGCAGCAGCCTTGTGTTTATGCGAAGCATGTACACTAACTATTCGTTCCCCAGAGACCGGTTGTATAAGATCAGGGCCTCTTCCCCGCGGGTCGCCACCCATGCCAAGGTCATCATGGCGCGCTTGGGCAGGGCACAAGACCATGGATGGGTATACCTGGGCAGCCACAACTTTACACAGGGGGCATGGGGCCGGCCGAAGGATACATCGCGGCCCAACATTAACAACTACGAGCTGGGCGTCGTCATCCCAGATATCAGCTACTCTGTTGAGGCAGGGCATACACATGCCATGTGGAATGGTGTCAGGGTTCCACTTTCATTTGATGTAGACTGGGAGCCATATAACTACGGGGATATACCATGTCTTCGAGATAATGTGTAGATGCTTCGGAGCTATAATATATGTGGATGCATCCAGGGAACCAAGGTCGAAGCAATAGCTGTTACCAGTATGACATGTGTATCTAAATGTCGCCTTTAACAGTCGTCGCCATTCACTGCCAAGTAAGAAATACTCATCCAAAAGAAGCCTTTGGCACAAGTGCGACCCAGCACTTGGTCAATTCAACGTACAATCCAGTTCCGCTTATAGCTGTCACTGACGACGAGATGAGTATAAATTCAGAAGACAGTTATGTGTTCAACCCACTGCCGCCACCTCCTATCGAATTCCCTGACAGAGGAATCCACATCACTCATTTACAAGGCGAAAATGCCCCAGATGGCACCATAGTCACGTCTGACAGTCTTGTGAAAGCACACTTGCTGTGCGAAGTTGTGGTGGCAACATCTCAAGTAGACATGGATCGAGTGCAGCGTAGGTTTCTAATGGGTACTGAGGTCATCTTTATCAAAAAAAATATAACCTACAGAGAGAGAGCCCAGGGAAATAGCGGCTGGAAAGTGATGGTGTGCGGATTACTGTTAACCCCGTGCATCCTGGTATGAACTCTAAGCTTACACTGCTGTACTATGTAAGTTATATGTGGCTGGTGGTGGACTTGGCTGACCTGAGACTGTCAAAATGGGGTGCATTCAGAATATCTTGTTTGTTCAGGACCCCCGTATGAAATCGGCATTCTCCAGCTCGTGACCGAATTTGGCATGTCGCTGGGACAAGCACTACTTAATTTGAATATGCCACATGAGGTCGTTAAGCACTTGAGATATATCGACTTTACCAAAGTCACCGCATATCTAGTAGCTCCTATTCCGATTTGCCACCCACGCAGCAGGGTCTGTCCATTACACCACCGACTCAGAGGGCTGGTCATAGTTGCATATGGAATGAATGGACTGCAAAACACTGAAGCCCAGTACCGAAATACCAAAAACTCCGCTATGCCTCTATACATGTACGGAGCCAGGGTGGACACACTCAATACGCACGTCTTGCTGGAATTCTACAAGTGCACACAAGGGCAAAATCCACGGTCGGTAGATGATATACCGAGCTGGGAGGCTATAGCTAGAAGTCAGGTGCATATATATTGGGTTCCATACAGAGAATCAAGCCGAGGCACTCGAGCACCGCAAGGAAAGGGGCCAGTACGCATAGCCTGATCAATGCAACTACACACACTGCTCATTCTCAAAAGGCGGACTATACAAGATCGAAACAGAATTTGAGAATGCCACGACAAATTCTAGGGTCATGATCGCACACAGAGGCAGGAAGAAAACCACAGATGGGTATACGTGGGCTGCCATAACTTCACTCATGCATGCTGGGGCCGGCTGGGGGCAACAGGAAGGCCGGTAATCGATAGCTGTGAGTTGGGAGTTGTTCTTCCCAATGTTGTCTATGAGGAAGAGCACGAGAGGACGTACGTCAGATGGAATGGGGCGAAGGCTCCGCTGTTGTTTGGTACTGCCTAGGGTATGTATGGTACTGGTACCATTCTGTACATCATCAAAAGCAGCTAGAAGTTAGCGTTTTCCACAGCAAACCAGAGTTTGATAGTGCAGCAATAACCACATCACACCACATCACATCACATACAATACCATAATATCCATGGGTCACTAAGAGTAGTACATAAGCAAACTAGAAATTATCTACCTGGCTATTCCTTTGTGCTTTTCATATACACCAGCGTTATTTTCACATTCTGCCAACACATATCATGGTAAAAAATTCTGCACGGGACCTGCTTCGAAAAGCACGAGAGCAAAAGAAACGTCAGCAGGCACAAAGCAAAGCACGGCCAGTTCCACTACCGAAACAGCCCACCAACAACGAGCCCACACAATCAAAACGACCACTTCCAGATACAGATGACGTAAAAGAGGTGGCAACTGAAGTAAAGCGGTTGAAAGTTGACACACCTACAGAACAACAGTCAGCCCTGTCACTTGTCGAATATGGTAGTGACGGCAGCGAGGACGAGAGTGAACCAAAGAGTGAAGGAGAGTCAGAGGAACAAGCTGACGAGGCCAATGGCCTACCTGCAGGGTTCTTCGATGCTGGAGTAGAGCCCGAGGTAGATGGGGCAGAAGAAGACCCAGATGTCCAAATGGACGACGAGAAGCCAAATGACCAGCCTGCTCTGCCCGCGGGGTTCTTTGACAGTGCAACCGAGCAAAAAGCTGCAGAGACAAAAACCTCTGTTGGCCAGATACGTGTCGAGCAAAAGAAGGACCTGGCAAAGGATCTGGCCAGCTTTGAGGCGGAGATAGCCGATCTCGCCGAAGAGAATAGCCTTGTGCGCACGACCGATGAGGCAGATATGCAAAAGTCGGCAATCGACGAGCTAGACCGCAAGGACCGGGAGTGGAAGGCAAGGACACAGAGACTGGCCAAGATGCGAGCAGTCATTCAAGAGGGATTGAAGGAAATGGACGCGAGCCAGATGGAAACGAACGAGGAGCAGGCTGATGCGGCATCAAGTGGGTCAGACTCAGACATGAGTGACATAGACGAGATAGCGGACTGGCGGTCCCGGACATTCTAAACGGACTATATTTTTCTTTAAAATGAAACCGGGATATAACGCTATGTTACTTGGCATATGCCGAATTGAGAAGATCAACCGACAGCGTCGCTGGGATTGGGTCGTTGCGCAGTGCCGAGTCGACAAGGTGCATGGCGATAAAGAACTCGCCGGGGCCAAAGCGCCCATCGAGGTTGCGGTCTGCCAGTGCCCAGATGCGGCGCAGCTGGTCGTCCGAGAGGCGGGACCGCCCAATTACTGCCTGCACTTGGTCAGACGTCAGATACCCAAGTCGTTTCCCCTGTTTATCGAGCCGCTTGAACAGATGGCCATACCGGACAAGAGCGTCGCTGGGAATGGTGCCGTTTGCGGCCGAGTATGTGCTGTGCTGGATCGAGGCTGCACGTGGGGCCTGTTGGTGGGCAGCAGTGCTGGAACGAGCCAAGCTGGGAGCGCTTTGCTGGGGGCTGCGCATGGACATGGCGCGGCGAGCAGCATCGGATTTTGGTGGCGGCTGTGGCACTGTCACTGACGAGTAAATGGATGACGTGTCTGAAGGAGCTGCCGAATTGTATGAGTATGCGCTGCTGCTGCGGCTGCCACCCGAGGGAGTGGGTGGCACCGCGCGTAGGGAAGAGGCCTTTTGAGGCAGGGAAGGAACTGGACGCCGCCCCAGGATCCCAGTGCCTTTGACTTCCTTTGCTGCAGTGAGTGGGATGCTTCCTGAGCCAACTAAAGTCGATGGCGGTGGCTGGTACGCGCCGGGTAAAGCTGCAGCGGGGACTGCTGGTGGTGGGGCTATCACGGACTGTGCAGCTGACAAACCGCGCATCATCGGGGCCGGTTGCTGCTGGTTGGACTGCTGCTGGATATGCGCCTTCGGATCAAAGTTGTCCTCGAATCCCGCACCGCTGAACTTGCTGATGAGGTTTGCTGGATGTGGCTGGATGTTATCTTCAACTGGCTTCACTGGTTCCTGTACAATCTGCCTACTTGGGTGATACGGCAACATTGGCGCATCGTTCTCCTGCGAAGGGCTCCTTAGCTGAACCACCGGTTTCTTTGGCGGTGGAACCGGCCGCCGCTTCGGATCAAACGGCAGCGCTGGCGCATCGTTTTCCACAGCCGGGTTCTGCTTTTGCACAATTGGCTTCTGCGGTGCAGGGATTGGCCTGCGCTTCGCATCAAACGGCAGACTTGGCGCATCATTCTCGAACGCAGGGCCTGTAGTTTGTCCGACGCTGCTGATTAACTGTGCTGGTTTCTGAGGTAGTAGCGGCTTTGATCCATTCTGCGTCTTGTTTGCGAGAAACACTGGCTTGCTAGCCACCGCTGGCTTGTTGCCTAGGTGCCTAGCCTCCCACTCGGCAGCAGCATCGCGCTCCTTCTGATGGCGGTCGCTGGTGTCGCTGGTATCGTAAATGAGCGGCTTGTGTGGCAGAGGGGGCGGTGAGGCCTTGGTTGGCTGTGGAGCTGCTGGTTTGAACAACTGGGGCTTCGGTGCTACCGTTGGCTTGCCGCCAAACAATGACTTTGTCGCGACTGCTGGCTTGGGAGCCAGCGGGGGTTTGGGCGCTGGTGTGGGTTTAGGAGCCAGCGTAGGCTTTGGTGCAAGTGTTGGTTTGGGGGCCAGCGCTGGTTTGACCGGCAGAGCCGGAGCAGCAGCTCTGATGGGTTCAGTTTCCTGCTTGAATGCCTCCAACTGCAGTGTAGATGACAGCAAACCGTCCTTCTGAAGCTTGGCCAAAATATCCATACTGTCGCCTGCTTCTGGCGTCAGCTCTGCATAGACTACTGGGAACAGGCCGCGCTGGCCCGCCACAGTGCCCTCAAACCAGCCTTCCTCGCTCGATGGCTGCACGCTAGTCAGGATGTCGCCAGCATCGAATGTGATCTCCCCAGGGTTTTCAGCAATGCACGCGTAAATGGCCGTTGCCTTCATGGCTATCTCTAATAATAAGGGGCAAAAATGCTAGGGCTGGGACAAAATGAACGAAAGAGAAAAGAGGGACAGGAGCTGGCTGGCGATGTCCGTCAAGGGTCCGACAGGTGAGGCTAAATATAGTCACCCGAGGACAGCCAGGCAACAACACGGCTCGGATTTTCCCGAATCAGATCAGCAGCCTTTGTGGGCATACAGGCGTGATGTAGACGCTTTCCAGCTACAAACAGACCGCCTCCGGCTTTTCTTTCACATTTCTTGGCCTTCTTTGCAATTCAAGTTCTTTGTGCGAAAGCATTGGCAATGACGACAGTATATCCGCCGGCATTGTCGCACTTTGCTGTATTCTGTCCCGCGCTGGGCGCAACCGAGGACTCCACACATGAGCAGCTCCTGTTTTATGCCGCCGCTACGCTCCCTGCATTCTACCCATACTCGGCCAACGACTACTACTCGCGGACCGCACACCTTCGGCGACGGTCATCAGGAAGCGGCACTGTGAAATCGCACAGCCCAGGGCGTGCACATGCCAGCACCACTGAGCCCCACGGGAACCGTGAGCGCGTAGTGTCGCTGGATACGAAGCTGCGGGAGATCGGGCTAGCATCAGCACTGGTTATGTTTGCAGACACATTTTCGCCCAGCAACCAGTTTCACGTTGTGCATTCGGAAAAGCGGCGGACTGTTATCTTCACGCCTGAAGAAGGGGTCATCGTCCACCTGTCGATAGTTTTGCCACGCAAAGTCACTCCGTTTGGCAAGGAGAAGGATGCGTATTCCGTTGAATTCCTCGATAACGAGCTCGATGACCGTGCGATTCAACCGTGGCTCGAAGCAGAATACCAGGCGTTCCGATTGCTGTTTGGTCCAGTTGGTAGAGCTTTGCGAGGAGGGAGACAGAAAGTCATTCGCCAGCTGGACTCGTTCTTTGGGCGAACCGTGTGGGGCTGGGATAGACGGTGGGACAGAAAACATGGCGATGAGCTGGATCTCCTGCATTCGCTGTCTCCGCTGCCACAGCTTCCAGTCGGCCCAATCAGCCTGGGTGGGTTCGACGAGCTGTGGCAAGATATGTCGTCAATCGGCGACGAGGACGCAGTTGTTAATGACGTGGTCGTGCTTTGGCACGGGAACGAGGTGGTATGGAGCAGCTTCAAATCACACAAGGTGCTTCGTGCGATAGTTGCCTGGTCCCGTGTCGTCTATGTGCCTGCATTTGCACACGCAGCCGAAGCAAAACACAAGAGCCATGCAGCACCGCCCCACCGAGCTCTCGGTGTTGCTAAGCCTAGCACAGCGCGCCAGAGCTCTTGGGGCAGTAGCTGGTTGTTTGGATGGGGCAAGCAACAGCAGCAGCCACAGCCACAGCCACAGCCCCCATCGCAACAGCAGCAGCAGCAGCAGCAGCAGCAGCAGTCGGCGCTCAGACAAGAAAGCACCGGGACGGAGAGCAGAGGCAGTACAGGCAGCGAGTCAGAGATAGAGGTCGGCAATGGCGGATTCTCGCAGGTGCTGTCGCGCGCTGTTGATATGTTAGTAGAGCCACGGCCGCCAACGCCGCCAGAAGTGGACCCTGTGTTTCTGTCTGGCGAGCCTGTGCCCGAGCAATTCCATGTGCCTAATGACGGCCTGGACTCTGATGCCGAGTCTATTCACTCTATCAGGTCGATGGCGTCTGTGCGCACCACCGCCACTGTTGCGCTGTCTCGCCAGTCAGTGTCGGCGACGATCGGCAGGGCCAGGGCCAACACGCACATGAACTTTGGGGTGCCTTTGCGTGCCAGGAGCCACTCACGTGCAGCCTCGATTCTGTCCAACTCGAGTGTAGTCACCACCGATACAATGCAGCTGCGTGACGACACACGCGTATCATCGAGAAGCAGCTGGTGGAATTGGGGGTCTGGCGAATCACCGAGGCTGCCATCGATCCACAGCAACGGTGTGTCTGAGTCTGAGCCCTCGGGAACCGACCCTGCGTCGACGTTCTTGTTCACTGGCACGTCGGCGTTTCCCGGACTACCGCAGGCAGGAAAGGAGCCTGAAAACAATGAGCGCCCCGAGCACATTCTTGCAGATGACCTAGATGCTGAGGGTGCGAGCAAGGGGGAGACTATCAGCAGGCTTGAAGAGGCGATGGAGGAGGGCATTCCTGAGGTGTATGAGCACGGAATAGATGTCGACGTGAGCCGTGGTGTAGTACTGGCCCCCCGTGCCATTCCCGGCATGCAATACGACACACGGCTCGTCAAGCTAATGTACCAGGCTACCGAGGGCGCCGCAACTTCTCCTGTGCCAGCTGAAATGCCCCTATGTGTGGGGGACGCTGTGGCTCGGCATTTTGTGTACCGCTTTGGCGATCTCCTGTTTGTTGTTTTTGGACGCCCTGCCGAATCCAACGAAGAAGAGGAAGCTGTTGGGCGAGCTGGCCGGAGACGCGGTCGTCGCAACGGCGGCATGCGCCGCGAGACATTCGATTCTGTCAAATTCAGCTCTCACGACTGCCAGCAGATCGAAAATGCCATCCTGCGCTACGCAGAGAGCCTCCAGTCAGCCACACAGCGCGACCATTCCGACATATCCGCGAAGCGCCGCACGGCCATCCAGCAGGCCAAAGTCCGCAGGATCCCCCCCTATATCCATATGGACAAGACAGACCAGCTGGCGCGCACGAACTGGAAGCACGACGGTCCTCTGCCAATGAACCAAAGTTTTGCCGGCTACGTTTCTGACGATGTGCGCAGCAGCGGCAATGGCCTGGCATCAAATGTCAGGCGGGCAATTTCGGTCGTGCAGGGTGAGCAGCGTGGTGGGGCGGTGGTGTGTGCCCGCATGCAGGACAAGGGGTGGGTTGCAGGTATGGATCGGTGCCAATTCGAATGTGTGTGTGTCGTTGACCAGCCCAAGGCGACACTGGCGGATGCCCAAACATTTCTGAGTAAAGTTGCCAGTTTATGAGTGACCGTTTCTTACTGTATATTATAACTGGAATGTCTATGAGGCGGGAAAACCTGACTTTTTGGTTGTGGTGACAAGCATCTTTTGAACAGGCTGTTGGCAGAGTCTGCCGACGAATCAGTTTGCCATCTCTTCCGCGTCAATTGGCCCCAGTGGCCGTGGTGGATACGGGTAGTCGTGTCCGCCAACGTCTTGCCGATAGCTGAGCTGCCTTTTCATTGTACCAATAGGTGGAGGCGAGGATACTGATGACAGAAAGCAGGAGGAGAGAGGCACGATTTGTGATTTCTTGGAAACGTAGTACAGGAAATGAAAAATTAGAGAAAGCGAAAAAGATGCGCGTGTAGTGACAGGAGCAGGCGCCAGCACACACGTTTTGTGTGCCCTT